CAGTGAGGATCCACAAGGTCTTCTCTGAGTACTCTTTATTTTCTTCTCAGAGGCTATGGGTCCCTACACTTGCACCAGAGGTGGTACTCCTTTTAGGTATAGAAAAAAATATAATACAATAAATAAAAGTTTACGCTTCAGGTGAGAGAAAAGTGGTGATAGATGTGTACTTTAGCAGAGAGATGAGTGTTTAGTGGTGCACAGGTTTCACCCTAATGCTCCAGAGGGTTCGAATCCCGCGAAGAACAAAACGTTTGGACACATTTCCTTAGACTTTATGTCCTCTGTGAAAGAAAACGTATCACAGAGGAACTTTTCAATAAAATAATATGGTTCATTAAGGCTGCCTATCTCAATAACATTCCGCCAAGATACTTATAACTGTAATGAATGAACACTCCGTGTCGTCGTTCTTTAAGCACATCACATATTATATGCAACACATTGGTGTATACGTGCAAATAATAACACCCACGTACAGGTACGACATTTGTTGATGATATTATTTAGGGCGCATGTGCTGGACGTCGGATGGTATCATAGAAAACTGGGAAGCCAGCCAGCCGTCCCTTGCAAATGTAACTCACTTATTTCTCAGTCTATCATCTATCTTATCTACTCACCTCACCGTCCCGCCTTTCTTATCTACTCAATCCTCATCTTATCTACTTACCCCACCTATATTATCTACTCAACCCTCATCTTATCTACTTACCCCACCTATCTTATCTACTCAACCCTCATCTTATCTACTTACCCCCACCTATCTTATCTATTCACCCACCCATCTTATCTACTCACCCGCCTTTCCGCCTATCTTATCTACTCATCCCTGTCTATAGGGCTTCTATAATGTATTTACTCTGACGCCAGACACAACAGTTTATCATATCCAGAGTAAAGCCTCACTTCCACAGTTTCTATAGAGTTTACTCTGAATCCAGACATAAACTGCGATTGTTTATCATGTAAACTGGACAATATCCTCGTGTTAACGAATGTATAGGGGGGTAGATATAGCCTAAGCTACTTTATCCCTTTGAGATGTATTTCTTTCTTGTCCCAATAAACATACTTGAACTTGAACGAATGTATTCGAGCCATTTTCTGATCATATTCAATTATCCAATTATTTAAGACATAGAGAAGAGGTGCTACCTGTTCGCTAATTATAGAAAATGAGAGCAATTTAGAGGGAGGTCTTAGCAAAAGACGTAGGAATTGCCTGAAACGCTGTGCTTTAGGCATTGTATGAACTAACTCTATCTAGAAATTCAACATTATGTTTGCAACTCATCTTGTATGTATGTATATTTATCTGAATAAACATTTGATTTGATTTGAATTAAACACATGCATGTACAAGCCGCGGTAAGAATGCCCGAAACAGTGTGTTGATAATATTCTAACTAACTTCTAACTGCGCGTTAAATTAGTACCTAAAAATGAAGGTAACTGCAGGACTATTGGCCAATACGAGGAAGTAATATTGTCATATTATTCTAACTACGAATGCGTTATAAAGTATATCATTATACAAAATAGTAAAAATCCTCACTTTTTCCTGTTACAAGACCCATGTTAAGAATATTAAATGAAGAAGAAGTGATTAGTAGTAATTAGTTATCGAAAGAAGACACGAAAAAGAAGAGATTAGCAAGCACTGCTAATTGCTCATTGATTGTTCACTCAGGGTATTTAAATACTTACTGTACTGCTCCCAAGCAAACTCAAACATTCTAATCTAATCTAAATCGAGGAATCAGACCTGATGACGTTGTGGATATGTTGGGACTCCATTATCTACATGTGTGTTGGGGGGTAGGGGGGGTGGAGGTCCCACGATGGGGGGGGGGGTGTTGTTTACATATCCACCTGACACCATGAGTGTCAGGTGGATAATTGTAATTATGGCATCTCCCATATATATATATATATATATATATATATATATATATATATATATATATATATATATATATATATATATATATATATATATATATATATATATATATATATATATATATATGCGGAAAATCCACAGAGAAATATGAAATGAGGTGAACGTTTCGGCTTTGTTAAAGCCTTTGTCAACACCAGACTGACTGAGAGTCAGTCTGGTGTTGACAAAGGCTTTAACAAAGCCGAAACGTTCACCTCATTTCATATTTCTCTGTGGATTTTCCGCATAAAATGATCAGTGTTTTGTGATCGTCAATTGCATATATATATATATATATATATATATATATATATATATATATATATATATATATATATATATATATATATATATATATGTCGTACCTAGTAGCCAGAACGCACTTCTCAGCCTACTATGCATGGCCAGATTTGCCTAATAAGCCAAGTTTTCCTGAATTAATATATTTTCTCTATTTTTTTTGTTTTGAAATGATAAAGCTATCCATTTCATTATGTATGAGGTCAATTTTTTGTTATTGGAGTTAAAATTAACGTAGATATATGACCGAACCTAACCAACCCTACCTAACCTAACCTAACCTATCTTTATAGGTTAGGTTCGGTTAGGTAGCCGAAAAAGTTAGGTTAGGTTAGGTTAGGTAGGTTAGGTAGTCGAAAAACAACTAATTCATGAAAACTTGGCTTATTAGGCAAATTGGGCCTTGCATAGTAGGCTGAGAAGTGCGTTCTGGCTACTAGGTACGACATATATATATATATATATATATGTCGTACCTAATAGCCAGAACGCACTTCTCAGCCTACTATTCAAGGCCCGATTTGCCTAATAAGCCAAGTTTTCATGAATTAATGTTTTTTCGTCTACCTAACCTACCTAACCTAACCTAACCTAGCTTTTTTTGGCTACCTAACCTAACCTTACCAATAAATACAGGTTAGGTTAGGTTAGGTAGGGTTGGTTAGGTTCGGTCATATATCTACGTTAATTTTAACTCCAATAAAAAAAAATTGACCTCATACATAGAGAAAAGGGTTGCTTTATCATTTCATAAGAAAAAAATTATAGTAAATATATTAATTCAGGAAAACTTGGCTTATTAGGCAAATCGGGCCTTGAATAGTAGGCTGAGAAGTGAGTTCTGGCTACTAGGTACGACATATATATATATATATATATATATATATATATATATATATATATATATATATATATATATATATATATATATATGTCGTACCTAGTAGCCAGAACGCACTTCTATGCCTACTATTCAAGGCCCGATTTGCCTAATAAGCCAAGTTTTCATGAATTAGTATATTTTCTCTAATTTTTTTCTTATGAAATGATAAAGCTACCCATTTCATTATGTATGAGGTCAATTTTGTTTTATTGGAGTTAAAATTAACGTAGATATATGACGGAACCTAACCAACCCTACCTAACCTAACCTAACCTATTTTTATAGGTTAGGTTACGTTAGGTAGCCGAAAAAAGTTAGGTTAGGTTAGGTTAGGTAGTCGAAAAAACATTATTTCATGAAAACTTGGCTTATTAGGCAAATCGGGCCTTGCATAGTAGGCATAGAAGTGCGTTCTGGCTACTAGGTACGACATATATATATATATATATATATATATATATATATATATATATATATATATATATATATATATATATATATATATATATATATATGTCGTACCTAGTAGCCAGAACGCACTTTTCGTCCTACTATGCAAGGCCCGATTTGCCTAATAAGCCAAGTTTTCATGAATTAATATATTTTCTCTAATTTTTTTTCTTATGAAATGATAAAGCTACCCATTTCATTATGTATGAGGTCAATTTAAAAAAAAAAAAAATTGATTTTTTTGAAAAAAAAAAATTGACCTCATACATAATGAAATGGGTAGCTTTATCATTTCATAAGAAAAAAATTAGAGAAAATATATTATTTCAGAAAAACTTGGCTTATTAGGCAAATCGGGCCTTGCATAGTAGGCCGAGAAGTGCGTTCTGGCTACTAGGTACGACATATATATATATATATATATATATATATATATATATATATATATATATATATATATATATATTTATGGGAGATGCCACTGTGCTGGCCAGGGTTCGATGATTCATAGGAGAAGTAGTCAATTTGTTTAAATATAACTTGCTAGAACACTATATTGTTGAATGTGACACCGTAAAAGATTTTAGACCTCCTGGCCTATTGTACCACCAACTGTGTAACTATTTCATTGACTCAGGTGTTCTGGACGACATCCTAACAATTTATCCAAAATTTGCTTGTCCATTTTAAAAGATGAAGAACAATTTTATTTATATTATTTTTAAGCTGCATCTCTTATGAACCCATCCCTGACCTTGTGTGGCAGTGCACAATAGAAAGTTGTATTTACATATTCGCATATTGAAACGTGTATTGTCTAATGTAGATGATTGTAATCCCATGATATATATGTGCTTCAGCCTACCGTTTAGACCTATTATCTTGTGTGACAGTGAATACCAACATTATCCTCACTCTAATGAGACCTAATTGAATTCCTCAGATTAGGCAAAATTGTAATTATTTTTTATCAATAAAGACGTTAATAATAATAATTATAGGTACACAGATGATGAACACTAGGGAACTAAATGCAATAAGAGCCCTGATAACCAATGTAACAACGACCCAGTGGGCACAATACCCCAAGATAGGCATTGGATCAACGTTTATGACGTTAGTTCGACATTGAATCAACGTTTATGACGTTAGTTCAACGTTGAATCAACGTTGATTCGACGTTTCTCTTCAACATCGACGGATGTTGTGCCCACTGGAGACCACCTCACACACACATAGCCAACCTGGAAGCATTAACAAATGCTATATTGGCATCGTAGAAAAAGGTGAGAAATCAAACTCTAATTCTAAACATCATACTCTATATCTAAATGCTTATTTAAGTTCTAAACACTAATTACCTTTATATCACTCTCTGGGAGCTTTAGTGTGAGTCAATCATCTGGACAACAAAAGTATAAGAAATATATATTAAATTTATTGATTCTTGATAAATGCAAGTGTTTTTTGTTTATAAAAATTACATTTCTGCAAAAACAAACAAATAAACACTAAATTTTCCTTTATAAAGGAGGATCATGAGAAATTATTTGACAGGAAATCAGCTGAGAATATTTTAACTCATAAAACTATATAAAAAATTAAAAGCATAAAATACTACCGATTTAATTATTCAATATAAAATGCCAGTCAAATCAAAAGCATAAAATCTTGCCAAGTTGTAAATTATTAGCCTAATGAGTATAGTTCAGATGATATTCATAAGTTAATTAATCATGTATTAAATCTGAAGTATTATTTGTGAAACTACTTATTATTTTAAGGAAGGAGAAACACTATTAAGTACAAAGGATGATACTAGTGTTGTTAGTATATTTTGGAGAAAATTAGTTTGATGCTGAAAGGTTAGTGTGAACATTTTACACAGTAACCCGTAACTTTTAATAAAAATTTATAATACACCTATAGCCCTCTTGCAAGCAGCCTCATACAACCACATTGTTATGTATATACAATTTTGGAAGTCTGTTCCATTTTTTGAGTTGTATACACCGTTAGTTGTCAATGGCGAGCAATATATTGATGGTTACAGCAGTGATTATCAATATTAGAACCATGATTGTTCTGGCGTATCTCGATTTACAGTATAATATTATGATTACAGAATAATAATGGGGATCTGGGGGGAAGGGGACCTTGCTCTAACCCACCTTCCCGGCCACATCTGAAGAAACGGCATTGCTTTAGTACTGAAGCAATGTTGATTTGATTAACGTTTATCGCAGCGACGTTGGTTTAACGTTACTCGAGCATATCTTGCTACTGACAAACCGTTGACTTCCTCTCTCCTTCGAAACCACTACAGATGGTGGCCCCTCAAGTGAATAATGAAAAACCCACGAACTGTATACATCTCAGCACAGCTAGCGTGGACTATTTCATCCCAGTGGGCACATGTTGGGCAATATTCAACGTCACTACCAAAGGGGGGGGTGGGCCATATCAAAGAGTGACGTTGGTTCGACGTTGATTCAACGTTACTGGTGCATGTTTCGCTCACTGGGGCTGAGCATAAGATGCCATACAACACGTACAATTGTCTTCTCAACGTTGCAAATTTATATACGGTGACCTAGTAAGGTGATTATCATATAAATTATAAAGATTACGGTGAAATTTTATCGAATTATATACAATAGCGACTTAGAAAATTATACATATAAAAAACAGGTCCCACGGTAAACTGTTCTTTGATTTTGCATAGGAAAATGTAGAAAGCATTCACAGATATTATACTAAAGTAATGGTTTAAATTTCATTTGAAATTTACTAAAGACATTTAGGTCACATTATATTCATTCGACTTTGGGTGCATTGATTAGCAGAGTCAAACACACTCAGAGCAGAGTTCGATTCTCGGGCAGCGAAAGACGTGTTTGGGACGCTGCCTTACAACTGATGCCTCTATTTACCTAGCAGTAAATAGCTACTCGGGAGTTAGGCAACTGTTGTGGGTTTTATCCTGGGGAAAGGCTAGGCGTTGACCAAGAAAGAACCACGATAAAATAAGAAATATATAGATACATTTTAATTTTTAATTCATTCCTCGCCCTATCGATCAGTCTAACTCATTTTAGAGTGTGGTAAACCCAGTGACTTCATTCGCATCTAACGCCGTATACTTTAAGATGATGACTTTAATATTAGCGATGTGAACACAAATCAAGTAACGAAGAAGCAAGGGGCCAATCAATTTTAATTATCAAGGGAAAGCGCCAAGCCATTACGACTTTATATCACTTACAAGAGGGTCAGGATAAGAATTTGGGATGGGATGAGTGGGAGAAGGAATGGTTCCCAACCTTTTGGACGTTCAATTGGTTCCCTTCGGCGTTCAATTCCCTTTGGGGAATGAACGCCGAAGGTACCAATCAAGAGCAAGAGAGAGAGATCTACTATCACAGTGAGCAGTTGACAGTGGTGTTAGTGAGGGCTTGCACGAGTGATTGCTGACATTAGTTCAAATCAGCACTACAGAAAGACGGCCAGAGTGGCTCCACATCGTAGCCTCGGGCGAGAAGCCTACAGCGATGCTCCTCCAGCCTCGGCGAGGCCTCGTCAGTGCTGTTGGTGTGAGCAGAAGAACTCCAGAGTTTTTCTGCCACGACAGCTGCCCGAGGCCAGGTGCGAGGTATGAGGTTAGTGCGGTCTACGTACTCCCCCCACATGCAAGCTTCTCCACCCAGTACCAGCTGTTTTTGGCTCTCCGTGCCTGATGGAACACCATAAAATACGGTTTATAGCTAGTGAACAATAACAATGTTAGTTACAAGAATAATACAAATATTTCAAGCTCTATAATATATAATAATATAGGTTCGGGTTCAGACCTTTTTCTGAAGACCTTGTGGGTTCAGTGAGAACCCACAAGGTCTTCTCTGAATACTTTGTATTTTCTTCTCTGAGGCTATGGATCCCTACAATTACACCAGAGGTGGTATTCATTTATTTAATATATAAATAATATAATAAAAGTATTTCTAATTGTGAAATTATGGCAACGCTCGTTATAAGAATTCAAATGATAACATCATGCCAATGTCACTACTTGTTAGTAAGAAAGTTAACCTACAGCAAATATTTTAAACTACACATTTAAGATTTTCTATCAGGAGCAGGATTCAGCAAGCATTGACATGTCTACCTATGGAAACCTTTACATCTTTCCTTGATCATAGCGACTTTGCATAAATTCAAGTTTACACGCTTTGAAAATTCACAACCCATGGAATATTGCTACGGACGCTCTTGTACCTCTTCGGAACTCTTAAAGTGTTTGACAAATGCTAAGACTGAAGAAAGATATACAGGTTTCATAACTGGAAACTTAAGTGCTTCGTGAATCCTATCCCAGCTAATAGGCATCACTTATCTATGAATGAGGTTACGAATATCATCTGTATGAATATGGGTGAAATTCAATCTAAGAGATGCATTACTGCTAAATAGGTTTCACTGTAATTCATTTCTGAAGGATATATTTAGAAGAGTTGTTTGAATGTGAATTTTCAATGAAGATCACTAGTAGTATTAAGCATGAGTGGATGTCTGAAATGCAGCTCCATACAAGGCCTTGTGGAAAGATTTATACTCGCGCAATTTCGAAAATAATAAAAACAATTCATACTTTTTCAAAACAAAATAAAAAATTAAAGGACAAACGTTACTGTTTAACATTAATTATTTGTAGCTGTATATAAAAATATATATCATATATCACTTTATTATCATTACGGACTTCTTATTAAAGTAAACTGACATGATTATGTCATATATGATATTATGCCTTGCCCGAAACGCTGTGCGTATTAGTGGCTTTAGGTATTGTATGTACTAGCTCTATCTATAAATCCAACATCATGTTTGTAACTCATCTTCTATGTATGTACTTTTACCTGAATAAACATTTGAATTTGAAACATCTGAAATTAACTTACCGTCAAAATCTTGAGGGTCACATTGATAGTACTTGTACCAGTCAACTCCGTAACTAATGTAGTTGAGGTACCAGCAGGAGGAGAGAACAGTGTTATACCCGGCAGAAGTAACCTGAAAAACACAAAAAAATATGATCCTATTCATACCGGTTAAGCGTTTGAATCGTTTGAACGGTTAAGCATTTTTCAAATGCTTAACCGTTTCACTGCGGACTGCCATCATGAGCGCAATTATAGTTTCTGCGGTATGTACACACACATGTGAGCACTTAAGACATGTGGACAATTGTGTATCAAGTCTTCAAACGTGTGGTTGCGCCTACAACTGCCAGAGGTCTCATGGGGTTGAGCAGACGTATTTTTGTAATTAAGAGAGCCATTAGCGCCCACCGAATCTTTGCGGAGGCAACATGTAATCCAATTTCATCCCGCCACCGCTTCCTTGCTACCCAAATGCCTCTTCAAACAGGATATTCGATGTTCGAACAATTATGCCTGCCTAAGAAATGTTTATAATTATTACTTTATGAAGAGTTCATGAGAAACATACCTGGCTCAATTCATTCTTCCAGGCGGCTGGAACATTTTCATTTTTCCATACATGAACGACCGTGTCATTAGCGATGTCTACTCCATTGTCAAACACCTCCTGCCACACCAGGTACCTATGGAACGGTCAAAGACTTGGATCACCTCCCACGCTCAATTAAAATTTAATTAAATTTTAGTAAATAATAATGGCATAGGTACAATTTTGATTACAATTGATAAAACTGACCCATTCTTCTTGGGAAGGTTGGCAATGATGTCAAGGAGTTTGGTGATATAGACTTCTTCTAACTTGCTGTAGTCACCAGTAATATTGTGTTCGGCCATGAATGCTGTGATATTTGGATTGCTTTTCCTGTAAAAAGAATGTTTTATATTATTAAATGATATACGGAATGTCAATGATCAAATCATAAGAAAATAAAACAAAAATTAAACATGAATTTGAAAATACAATACTGTATACTGTGGTATAAAAACTTAAAGAATAGGTTCCATCATGATTACTATTTTGTCATACTTTGTCATGGAAAATGGATGCATTAGAGCAGGATAGGATAAAAAAAAATACTATATATTAAAAAAATGATGCTCATACAATAACAATACCTATACACTATACACCAGTATGGAGAACCAACTCCATCATATTCCAGCAAATTATCCACAGCGACATCCCATAGCTTCATAAGGCTAGCTAACCGGTTAGGTACCTGCTGGAAATGAGAAGCTAGCCGAACAGGTACCTGCTGGAAATGAGAAGCTAACCAGATAGGTACCTGCTGGAAATGAGAAGCTAACCAGATAGGTACCTGCTGGAAATGAGAAGCTAACCAGATAGGTACCTGCTGGAAATGAGAAGCTAACCAGATAGGTACCTGCTGGAAATGAGAAGCTAGCCGAACAGGTACCTGCTGGAAATAAGAAGCTAACCAGATAGGTACCTGCTGGAAATGAGAAGCTAACCAGATAGGTACCTGCTGGAAATGAGAAGCTAGCCGGACAGGTATCTGCTGTATATAAGAAGCTAACCAGATAGGTACCTGCTGTAAATCCAGTCACCCTAAACAAAACAAAACAAAATTTCTCAAGACTAAGGCAACTCACCAGCAGGAAAAGCTGACCTCATCACCACCTAGATGGACATAGTGGTCAGGGAAGCGTCCTGTCACCTCCGTGAAGAAGGTCTTGAGGAAGTCGTAATTGTTAGTGTTAGTTGGGTCAATTGGGCCGAAAGTGCCATCTGGAGCTGAGTTGCTAATGGAGGAAATCATTTAAACATAATTAATTGTATTGGTTGATATAATGAGGTGAATTTTATTCTTAAACTTTGCCACATTAAGACACACCTGCGAGTCAAAGACGTAGTAATAATAAACAATAACAAAAACTATATTTTTCTGACACATGATCTTCACAATTTATTTACTTTCTGTAAATAAAATTAAAACCACCATATAACATTAAACTGCTTGTACGCAATCCACTTTAGTTCCAAAACTATACAGTGTAGAGCATGTAATATATCCTTACGAAACACTACTCCCAGGTGCAGAAATCTGAGGGATTATAACTAGACCTGTAAGGACTGACCTGTAGCATGGTGTGAGAAGACCAGGCTGGCCAGGGCCCCAGGACTGTGTGTGTCCTGTAGGAAGAGTACGACAATTGAAATATCACTCAAATAATGATAGCACGATATGAAGAAACCCTGCACATAAATTTATAACATGGAATACACATAGAAATCCCAATAGTGTGATGCATAAATAAACAAATCCACAAGGGCCGTGACGAGGATTTGAACTTCGAATCGAATCCTCATCACGGCCCTTGTGGATTTGTTCATAACATGGAAGTTTTTTGGTAATACAGTGAAAATATTGAGTTTGTACATCGAACCCACATCCCTGGACTCCTTAGGCAAACGCAGGTTCGATCCCATTCAGCGACCTCTCGCGGTGTTTAAAACAGAACTTGATAAACACCTCCAAAGGAAACCTGATAAACCGGGATGTGATCAGCTACATCTAACCGCCTGGCTGACCAAACTATCAACCAAGAGGTCTGGCCAGAGACCCCAGCTACAAGGCTGTTAATCTTCGGAACTAATGCAAAAAAATACGGAAGCAACCCCTTCACAGGACCATTTGTCACGAATTTATAAGCTAAGTAGCAAACCTGACATATTTAGGCTAACCTGGAGTATCGAACTCAGGCAGGACTCTGATGCCTCTCAGTCTGGCGTACTCCACCACTTCGGCCACGTCCTCGGCGGAGTACACGTGGGCAGGACTGTAAGCGCCGAGCTTACTGAAGCAAAGAGGCGGGAATATGACAATATAGTTGTTGGAACCGGGCAACAAAGTGTAAATTCCAAACCCAAACTTACAAATGAAATCAAATACTGTGTATAAAATAACATATAACTCTCAGTTAAATATCACATTGTCACTTGTGCTTTAAAATGCAGCACATGCATGTATGTATGTTCTCTCTGAACAGATCATGTAGAACGAATACATACAAAACTGTACTCCCGAGAATACTCACAAGAGCACATACACTCTCAGAACAAACACACAAGATCACATACACCCTCAAAAAAAAAAAAAAAACACAAGAGCACATACATCCTCAGAACAAACACACAAGAGGATGTATTCCCTGCAAACTAATCCACACTAACGCTCACACACCTGAGGTCAGGGAAGGCAGTACTGACGTAAGGGAAACTCTGGTCATCCACAATGTGCCAATGGAAGACATTTAACTTATTCATGGCCATCAGGTCGAGTGACTCCTTGATCTTGGCGAGTGGCAGGTAGTGACGCGCCGTGTCCAGCATCAGGCCTCTGAGGAGAATTGGACGTTAGTCTCATTACTCACTCCAGTAAGGTCTAAAACCTGTGATATGAGCATTATGACTGTCATAGTGACCTCACTCACGTCCTGCACAGTAAACCTTCCCGCTGAAGTGTCCAAGCGCTCACCTGTGTGTAAATCTGGGGTAGTCCCTAATCTGTGTGGAGTTGACATAATAGGCTGAGGCGTCAGGTATGAGGATCTGGGAGAAGGTTTCCAGTCCCCTTAAGATGCCCCAGATACTGTGTGATATGATGGCTCCTTCGCCCGGGGCGTCGGGACTGTCAATCTGGTGGACACAATAAAATTAAATGTAATATCAAATTATATATTTAATAACAACTTAAATGTACTGCGACGGGAAACATCTCCCGTCACACAGGGTGCAGTTGCACCTCCACAGATCTCTAGTATCAACTCTTGATACTGGTAATGGCTCAAAAGGGCCACCACTTACGGGCTATTCATGCCCGTGCCACCTTTTGGTTGGCTTAAATCTTCATCAATCAATCTTAAATGTACTGCTATACTGTATATATATAAATATCACGTACATTTTAATTTGTTGATACACGTATATAAAAACAGCTATGAAGGTAATCTACACAACAGATAGGGGTGATAAGCAATCTCTGTTTAATATGATTAATTTCCATTTCCCTTGCAGATAACTATTGGTTTAATATCATTTAGATTATAATGGGTAATATTGATTATCTTAGCGGAGTCCCACAGGAAACCAACATGAGTTTTTATCTAACAAAAGAGAAAATTTACAACTGAAAAAAAATCCGTGGTGTAGTGGTAAGACACTCGCCTGGCGTTCCGCGAGCGCTATGTCATGGGTTCGTATCCTGGCCGGGGAGGATTTACTGGGCGCAATTCCTTAACTGTAGCCTCTGTTTAACGCAACAGTAAAATGTGTACTTGGATGAAAAAACGATTCTTCGCGGCAGGGGATCGTATTCCAGGGACCATAGGATTAAGGACTTGCCCGAAACGCTACGCGTACTAGTGGCTGTACAAGAATGTAACAACTCTTGTATATATCTCAAAAAAAAAAAAAAAAAAAAAAAAAAAAAAAAAAAAAAAAAAAATGTGTTGATTGAGAAGGCATGGATTTCACGCAGGTTACATAACTCTCATACATGCTCGTATTCATGTATATACACTTGTATACACTTATTTATATACATGTGTAAATTCCCAAATATTAGTATAACTAATGTATTGTTATTCAGTCATCTGTCGATTGCATGTAAATAAACAAATATTCAAGAGCATGTTACTGCACAGAATACATCTTTAAGACGTCTTATCTGACCCCATAAGTGACAGACGCTGTCCTTACACAGGACACGAGCTAATTCCTTTACACTAACTCTTTAAAAAAGATGTTGACCACGACTAACCTAACAAAAGAACTTAATCTCAACCTCACAAACAAAAAAAATCTACCATTGCACCATTACAAATACCTTAATCGACTAACATAACCGCCATTATTACTTTAAGAAAGATCTAGATTGACCTCATAAATTCTATTCCAATAAACCATAGACCGTCTTAGATTGACTCCTAGAGTGATCTAAGCAAAGGGCAAGTGTTGACCTCTGACCTTGATCTCGTATTGCTCATCCATGTGCTGTTGAGGGTTGTCTTGGCATGCAGTCAAGAGATTAATCTGCAGTTCATCCAGATAACCTTGGAAATCTTGGTCCTTCCGCCAGGGCTGGTTGTTCTCTGCCTGGTAATAGAGAGGAAAAGCTATGTGAGAAGGGAGGCTTTCTTGCACGCTTGTCAGCAGAGAAGACGGGGGAAGTATTCAGAAAGGTTAGATTTATTATTATTAAACATCTTTATTGACAAAATATATTTTTCTAAAATGTTTTCTTATGGAATGATTAAAGCTTTTTATTACATATGATTTTATATTATTTGAGTTAAAACCAATATAAAAATGTAATCAAACCTAACCTAACCTAACCGAACATAACTCAGTAATTCATGTTCTTAACATAATATAATGATTACTAATTCAAATAAACAAAATTTAAAAAGACATATATAACCATTTGAAAACTCCCAAGCAATACCTTTGACCATTACACCTATTCATGGTAAATAAAGCAGTGCAACCTGGGATTCCACTGAATTCTCCAGGGCTCCTGAGGCTTCCACTAAAGCTTAACCAGGGTGTCATTCAATGCCCCCCCCCCATGCACTCTGGCTTGTAGGCTATGAATTCTACCTCCTACGCTTCTCTTTAAATACACAAAGAAATCACATTAATGTATCAAGGTTGCAATGCTTCTTGAACATGTCGTGATGTAGTGGTGTAAGGTGTCGTGTGCTTGGGAGTACCCGGTGTGCAGGTTCGAATCCTCTTCACGGTGCCTACTGATTTCCTCAATGATACAGCACATTAATGTAATTTCTTTGTAAAACTGATTTATTGATTACTGGGTATAGCAAACAACACGTAAGATTGATTTATGATTACCGGATATAACTATACATAAGCTTGATTGATTACCGGTTATAGCAAACTACTTGCAAGATTGACTGACTGAGTGCAGGTATACTAAACGTCAAATTACTACGTCATTAACTCCTTTTCCCCACGCTGCTTCACCAGCAGGAGGGAGCAAGTACCTTCGAAGATCGGGAGGTCGGGAACATGATACTGATGTACCTCTTCAGCGCCTCCTGCAGGATGTCACAGTCGAAACCCACAGTCTTGAAGCTGTAGAGTGAAAGATACACGTTCCAGTTAACACACAAGGGTGACAGGGTGACAAACACATGTTTCAAGTAACACACTAGGACACAACCTGCTCCTACTATGTAATGACTAATCATTACCCAGGTTCATACTGACATAAGGATGGGAGATTTCATCCAGACAAGAGCAAGAGGAGTATATAGATGTATATACAGTCTTTCTTTTAAATATATTTCCTTGTAAATGACATAAATTTTAGATTTATGATTCTGGCACGAATCTTCTCGATATTCCCGAGAAGATTGGAAATGATCTTAAAGGTTCATGCAACCAGCATTATTATTTTGACAGGGCGTGTCTAGGAACATTCAAGTTAATTGTCTGCAGGCGGACATTGGTACAATATATATATATAGAGCAGCATTAAATTCTGAGTGTTGAATGACCCCTGATGCCTGAAGACGCATTTAGAGTATTTCTCTAGATAATATATAAACTGACGTCACACATACCCTTTGATATAGACTAACGTCACGCTCACAAACATCATTATATACACTGACGTCACACACACACACACTATGACGCAATTATATACTAGGCAATTCTGGAAACCATCACCGTAGTATCCGATTCGCACAAGTCAAATATCTAATTATATATATAGCAAATATCACATTATTTCCGTTGCTAAGTATTAAATTGATCACCATTAAAGATACATATATCTGGAGAGATCTTTTAACAACAGATATGCAAGTTTACATGCCCAAGACTCGACACCCACCTTATGCCCCAGGTTCGACACCCACCTGAATGTATCCGGCCTGACGACCATATAGGTATCTCTGGACTCCATCATCTGTGGACGAGGCCAGATCTGGCCCACGGTAGGGGTGACCATGGGGTAGCCGCCCCACACCATGCCCACCACCCCCAGCACCATAACCATCCATGCTGTGGAGGAAGTCCAATATATATATCATAATTTACATTTGTCTGGGACATTAAGTTTATAGATGTCCTCCCTCGGTACACTGTCCAACCTCCACAACAATTGCCTAACTAATAAATTATTACTTAATAACTAATTTAATTAATTAATTAATAATACAATTAGTATTATTATTATAACTAATAATATTTATTGCCTATTTACCGGGTGCCTATTTACTACTTGGTAAACAGCAACATTTGGTGAAAGGAAATGCTACCCAAATGCTTCTGTCCTGCTGCGGGAGTGGAACCCGGGACCTTTCGGGCGTGCCCCAAATGCGCTGACCACTACGCCAAAATCCTATTTACAAAGTAATACAAAACCGTGTCTGATTACAGTATCATCTTGTAATTAGAATACATTTGTTATCTATATTACTCAATTTCTTCAAGATAATGAAATGCTAATTCCCAAATCACTTCGAGATCTTGGAAATTTATTTAATAAAAAAGTTTTAATTGATGAAATCTTGCCTCGTAAAATTTAAAATCAAAATAAAAGTAAGATATATTTTTGTAGTACATAATTGTTATTTTGTATTTAAAACTTTTTACAATAAGCTCATCTCAAAACATAGTAAAAACATGTGTGTTATTTAATTATTTTAATTTTGAACGTAAAATGAAAACAAAACGAAGCATTATGCAAAAATGCATGACAGAGTAACTACAGTCTCTTTCTGCTAGGCTTCATTCTAGCAAATTTATCTATTACTTCATTATAATTCACCTCAATAGCGAACGCACTTTGAATGGAGAGCAAAGCTGACCCCAGACAATGTATCGTAGCCCACTATAGAACAGAGGCAGGACTTTCTCAGTGTTTCAGATGTTTTTTCAGATGTTTTTCGGTGTTTAGGAATGTGTTTGAGCCGACTATAAAGGATCGGTCTGCAACTGCGCTACTTTTACGGGCTATTCATGCCCGTGCCACCTCTTGGGTGGCTTAATCTATATCAATCAATCTGTGCTACTTATTGATAAGGTCAGATAAATGTGGTACAGTATGAATATGTTAAGATAAATGAATCTGGAAACTTACAACTGTGCACAGAGTACAGATCATATACACTGAGAAATGGGGTATATCTTTCGGTGCATATATCCACGATAGACAGACAAACACGGAGGATATATGAAGATATATACGAGAATATACAGACACAGTATATACTAAATCGCAAGTCATTTGGCGATCATATATATATATATATATATATATATATATATATATATATATATATATATATATATATATATATATATATATATATATATATATATATATATATATATATATATATATATATATATTTAAGTATACTGTTGATACTCAGTTTCTCGGCACTTTATTTTTCCACACTGCTAGAGCTCATTATTTCTTTCTATGTCTTTGAATGGTTTTAAAGACTCTTGTACGATTTCACTTTGACGATGGCGTCTGAGTACGTGTCGCCGTACGGCTGAAAATTCTAATATGATCACATTAAATGAACAAATCCACAAGGGCCGTGACGAGGATTCGAACCTACGTCCGAGAGCATTCCAGACGCTGCCTTAATCGACTGAGATACGACATGGTAAAAGATTTGTGGATTTGTTCAACTGATGCATCACGCTATTGTGATTTCTGTGTGTAATCATCACATTATCTGCGTTCTCAAAATGCTTTGGATTTTGAGCACTAAATTTGCAAGCCGCTTTTTTAAAATGCTCCATTCTTTTACCTGCGCATTTATAACAGAATCTAAAGACACTAAGTTGGATTAAACCAGGGATTTCTTCATTGAATATCAACTTGGAATCTTTTTCTTCGGCACTCGCTTTGCTGCCTACATTCTATATTAACATCACATTTACCAACCAACTTAATTGCTTCATTTGCAATCCGTTTCAGATTCATACTCATTTCCCATATTTGTCATGTTTTACAAAAAGCCGACTCAAATGAGAAGCTGTTACCAAATCTATACAACGTTTCTGTAACTATCTGGATAAATTGAAAATCTTGCTAGCACTCTACTTCAGAATATAAAGGAACGAAAGAGTTTGCGAATTTGTTTTTGTAAAGGAGCCATTTTTGACACATTTGCGTATACTACGCCATTGGTTGTATAGAGGAATGATACGTCACTGATTGTAAAGAAGAATGATACGTTACTGGTTGTATACAGGAATGATACGTCACTGGTTGTATAGAGGAATGATACGTCACTGACTGTATAGAGGAATGGGGGAGGGGGCAACAGGAATGAGGGAGAGGGAAGCATGCAGAAGGGAGGTAAATAAAGAATGGAGGGAGGTAAGGGAAGGAAGAATGAAGAAGGAAGAGAAGAGGGAACGAGAGAGAAACAGCATGAGGGAAAAGACGGCAAGTACGAAGCAGGAATAGGACACTATTAAAGATTGAGGGAGAGAGAGAGAGTGAAGAAACGAGGGAGTAGGAAAAGAGAGGAATGGAAAACTGAGAGGGAATGAAGAAGAGAAACAGGGGGACGGGAAAGAGAGATGAAGGAAGGAAGGAAGGAAGGGGAGAGGGAACATCAAACAAGAGGGAAGGGGAAACGCATGAGAAATTTTCCATATGCTCCGCCGGGACCCTGAATTCCCACGCAGTTGGCGACAGCCAGCCGTGCTTGGTGGCGGGTTGTTGCTGGGTGGAGGGTTGCTGTGGTGATGGTTTGTTGTGTGGTGGCGGGTTGTTGCTGGGTGGAGGGTTGCTGTGGTGATGGTTTGTTGTGTGGTGGCGGGTTGTTGCTGGGAGGAGGGTTGCTGTGGTGATGGTTTGTTGTGTGGTGGCGGGTTGTTGCTGGGAGGAGGGTTGCTGTGGTGATGGTTTGTTGTGTGGTGGCGGGTTGTTGCTGGGTGGAGGGTTGCTGTGGTGATGGATTGTTGTGTGGTGGCGGGTTGTTGCTGGGTGGAGGGTTGCTGTGGTGATGGTTTGTTGTGTGGTGGCGGGTTGTTGCTGGGAGGAGGGTTGCTGTGGTGATGGTTTGTTGTGTGGTGGCGGGTTGTTGCTGGGAGGAGGGTTGCTGTGGTGATGGTTTGTTGTGTGGTGGCGGGTTGTTGCTGGGTGGAGGGTTGCTGTGGTGATGGATTGTTGTGTGGTGGCGGGTTGTTGCTGGGTGGAGGGTTGCTGTGGTGATGGTTTGTTGTGTGGTGGCGGGTTGTTGCTGGGAGGAGGGTTGCTGTGGTGATGGTTTGTTGTGTGGTGGCGGGTTGTTGCTGGGTGGAGGGTTGCTGTGGTGATGGATTGTTGTGTGGTGGCGGGTTGTTGCTGGGTGGAGGGTTGCTGTGGTGATGGTTTGTTGTGTGGTGGCGGGTTGTTGCTGGGAGGAGGGTTGCTGTGGGGTGGAGGGTGATGTGTGGTGCTGGGTGGAGGATTGTTGCTGTGGTGGAGGGTTGTTATGTGGTGCTGGGTTGTGGTGGAGGGTTGCTATGTGGTGCTGGGTTGTGGTGGAGGGTTGCTATGTGGTGCTGGGTTGTGGTGGAGTTTTTTTTTAAGTTCCTCTGTTTAGTGTCATCGGCAAATTTAGATAAGGTAATGCATAGGTCTTTATCGATGTTATTTATGTAAATTAAGGATAAAGTCGGTCTCAAAATTAACCCCGTGGTACTCCACTAATTATGTCTATTCAGCCTAGTGCATTTCCGTTTAACTACACATAAAATAACGTAATTATTAGGAGAATGTGCTAAGCCAGGATGACTATATAGCAGTTAGAAGGGATATGAGGACAAGGACCAACGGGGGATCGAACCCTGACCCGCAAAGAACGCAACTTCTGCTATACTGAGGAATCCAAGTGAACTCTTGGATCCTATCCATATCTGCGTTCAGGTTTAACCAATTTAATACGCGATCATCTATGTTTTTATTTGTTAGTCTCCAATGAGGAACTATATCCAATACTTTCATACAAAATTAACCCAAACACACACACACACACATACACATATGGAATGAACCGTTGTCACTTTCCCTTTATTACGTGTGTGTGATACTGGCTTCCTGCCACGTTATCGTGACATTCTCCTCTGGTTTCTGAAAATTCAGATATTTTACGTTTCCGCTTTGCTGACGTCGAACAAACAAAAACAAAAATGTGCTAAAAATATCAAGATGAGTTGCCAAATGCGAACGAATTATTTGAAAACCATGATAGGAGTCTCTTGCTAGGTGATGACTGTTTAAATGTTGCTGTGTGCCAGATTCACGAAGCAGTTACGCAAGTACTTACGAACGTGAGTACATCTTTCCTCAATCTGTGACGTTTTTGGTTACATTTATTAAACAGTTTACAAGCATAAAAACTTGCCAATCAACTGTTGTTATTGTTATAAACAGCCTCTTGGTGCTTCGGAGCTCATTAACGGTTTAATAATTGTAAACAAAGATAGAGAAAAGATGGACAGGTTCGTAAGTACTTGCGTAACTGCTTCGTGAATCTGGCCCCCATGGTGCTATAGGTTGGCAAGCGTGTACTAACATCAAGCTGATTCACCGTATGACGAAGTCAATAATCAAGAATTAGAACAGCATAAATAGACACCGATAATAATTAGACATACGTAGTGTTAAATAACAGATTTCATATTTAATATCCTTATTAAATTTAACATTATATTTTCCTACGTGAGGCTTTGTTCTTCTCCGAATGTGTTTCTCATATAACATGTCGCATTTTAACGGAATTGACCATTTAGTTAAAAATACGACGTATTACGAGCAATTAAAGTGCTGTAATATTGACATTTTCAATGCATCGACCTGGATAGGTAAGGAGGGGGGGGGGGTGAAAGCGAGATTTCGAACCCTACTTGTTAGGCCAAACAGTCGTATTTTTAACGGAATGTCAAAGCGAGTGAACGAGTTGGGATAATAATAATAATAAGAGATGCTGATGATAATATTAAGTTAGTCCTGCCTGCAACTAAGAACATAAGTCAAATAAACTGCA